AGCTTGCCTGGCTCTTTTTCTGACTCATCAAGAAGCAAGCTCCAGAGCTTCCTTTGCCACCAGACAAGCAGACCTGACAGAGGATCAGACAAAAAAAAACAGGATCTCTCCCTTCCAGCAGCACTAAGCTGTCAACCCAAGGCCTGAAGCAGAGAATTCAACTCCTCTGTGCTTCCAGACCAGTCCAAGCACACATGAGGCAGCAGCATTTCAGACCTGGAATGTCCTTCAAGCCACATCAACACCAGTGAGCAGCTGGATGCTGGATTCCCAGGGCCAGCACAGAACAGCCTTGGTCCTTCAGAGTTTCCCTGTGGCCAAGGTGGTCCTGCATTCCAGGACTGGGACTCACAGCAGAGCCAAACTCACACAACACAAGAGGTGGCAGCAAAGACCAAACAGAAATGGTAGGGGAAGAATGTATGAGTTTTTTGTGCCCCATGACTTATTTTGCCTGGATTTAGTGCAGACCAACATCTGGGAGAGAAAAAATGTAGGTGGAAAGCCTGTGGAGCACAGAAAACAGACACTTAAGTGAAAATCAGAACTAAAGAGAAAGAGGAAAGGAATGGTCTGACCACAGACCCATAAAAGTGATCAAGAGCAACATTCCTTTGGAGGAAAATCCCTCTTACAAGAGCACACTAGTCAGGGGCACAGAGAGCCAAGGGGAGGAGGAACAAGACTGGCAGTGAACCCGGAACAGCCTTGGGGCTCTGGAGGGAGCTTGATAAGAAGAGCAGCAGCCACCAGAGAGTTGTCAAGGATGGGACAGTAATGACACCAACACAAACACACAGGAACTCCAGACTGACTCATTCCAAAAGCAGAAAAAAACACTCCAAGGGACAGCTAAGTTTACACAGCTTGGTTCAGGAAGCCTAGAAGGAAGAAAAGACACTACACATATAGAAAGACTAAAAAGAGGAAGTTCTCTGCAGGGAAGGTGACAAAATTTAAAGCATGCTGAGACTTGTGACTAGCAAGACAGCAGAAATACCACCCATCACCCTCTTCCAGACCCTGGGCTCCACAGCAGGAACAACAGAGAGTGCTGTGCAGACATGTCTGGCTGGAAAGGGACTTCTGTCCTGAGTAGAAATATCCTGGGTATTTTTTAAGGCAGAGACTGAAGCACATTGTGGCACTCTGTTCCCATTCTGCTGCTTAACAGTTGCCTGAGCAGCTTCAGGTAACTTACACCCAGGGTTCAGCTGGCCAAGGATCCCTCTGGATTTTCAATATTCATTTAAATTGCTCAACAATGACCACCAAGGTAGAGCTGATGTTTAACTAGTATTTTTAGAAGAAGGAATATTCCAGTAATTATAATCCCATTGATCAAAACAACTGACATCTCTGGACACACATTTCTAGCCTATTTCAATAGAGGCTTGGTTTTGATCTTTGTGATCCAGGTTCTGGACACCAATGAGTGCAAACTGTTAAGCAGGTCAGTGATACAGAGGAACAGTTTAGCTCTGACTGATTAAGATGATGAGCTGATCATAGGTGAGCATCACAGAGCAAAACATTTACAGCTCTCCAGGTATGTATACACTCACCTAGAAAAGAGACAATGACTGGAAGTGGCAATTAGCCTTAAAATAGGACTCAAGATTACAGGTGAAGGGTAATTCACTGGTGAATTGACTCAGATCTGCAGTGGAATTTTTCACTGGCAATCTTTCAGTAACAGCAGGTACTTTCCTAGATGACCTGATCCCCTCAAAAAACTGATCACGGGTATCAGGGATTAAGTTAGATCACTCCAACAAGCTTATTTCAGGCCTGAAGAAGGTTTCCTGCACTGCCTGCCATTTAGGAAGTGAAAGAAACAAACAAGAC